TCTTTAGAGGAATTCTCCCTTTCTTTTCATGCGAATCTTTGTTTTTTGATGAAGTAAAAAAAAAAAATCCAGCAACAAATATTTACTGATTTGCAGGCTGCCTCCTTAGCACCCATGCTAGGGAATATTTTTGTGACTTTTAGAAGGTTACAACGTAGAAGAGTGACAAGAATATGCAGGACCTGCAGTGACCCAAAATTACGACTGGCTGTTAGAACCTGTGAATCCAGGAGATGCCCAGGTAGGATGAAGGGATGCTTCTGAGAAGTGGGAGGATGGTGGCATGCTTGGGGCATGACGGGCATGACTGGGGAGTGCAAAGTGTGTTTGGGAACTTGCAGGCATTCTGGGTACTTGAAGTATCTGAGCAGGATCTGTGTGAGGACAGAGATGAGACAAAATCTTGGATCGACCTGGTCAGCCTTGGATGCTTGAATAAGCAGGGGAGAAGAACTCAGGAAAGTTGTGTGGCAGTGCAGCAGTAGGTAAAGCTGCGTTGTTAGAGTATGTGGGGTCAGGGGAGAAAGTGGAAGGCAAGATGCCAGTTAGAGGAGGACTAAAGTCACGTTAGCTGAGAGGCTTTGAGGATCGGAAATGCATGGCAGTGGGAGGGGAGCGACCAGGGTTCAATGCTCGGGAGGGAAGTGTGAGGAAGAGAAAATTGGGTGTGTTGACTTCCTGTGTTTTTAGTGCCATCTTATTATTTTATGTAGCACAGATTGCTCTTTATTCCTCTCAGTTAGATTTTAAATATTCCTCAGTGCTTTGTCTGTCACCACCCAGACACCTGAATGTAAACTTGTAAACACTTCAGAAGCTCTCATTTTGAACAACATTAATGGAAACACTGCATTTCCTATAAAAATTACCTTTTTATTCTGCTAAATGCTTTAATAATATCAAATAATATTAATAAAATTATCATTTATTAATAATATAATGTACTTTAAAAAATGATACCAGGCTGAAATTGGCTTTTACTTTAGAAACAAAATGAAGATTAACTCCTCATTTCAGTGAGATGTCAGAGAGCTGGTATTCTCTCAGAAAGCTAAGGACTCAATGTGGAACATGAATAATTAATAACTTGAAAAATCTGCTAGTTACAACTTACTGTAGAAAAAGGATTATCAAGAAATTGTTTTAAGTAATATGACATTTTATATGGAGATAATAAAAGCCATCTTTTAGTGTCTTTTATGTCCAGGGATGAAATGATAGGGAATAATAAGCCCGTGGGACTTTGCTATGCACTTTGAGGGCTTAGCAGTTCACCAGTGACTGTGATTTGGGAGGGAGAGGAAAACAGTGTAGCTCTGGGCTCCCCCGGATGTGCTGATTCCATGGGGGTGGGACAGCAGGATGACCCTGACCCAGAGTCCTGCATTGTTGGTCCCCAGAGCACTGAACAGAGATAATGTTTTGGAAGTGGGGTGAGGTGGGTTGGGAGATCTTAACTTCGACCATGAGCGGAGTCAGAATTATACAGTGAGGGCCTTCAAAAGGTAACAAGTAGCCTCATAAACTTGACTAGTGAAAGTAGTTTTTATATCTGTTGTTGTGGTTGAGATGGGCCTCATTTTATAACTCTGCCTCCTGCTTTTCCCTCAGCTTCTGGAGGTGGGGAGACGGGAATGGAGCCACTTCTATTCCTTATCAACCTGGAAACCTTATTTCATGGAATAATTTGTTTCTTTTCTGTAGCTAGTTTATCAATAAGGTTTAAAAAATATATTTACTACTGATAAAGTAATACAATATTTAATCATTTTGTACAAACAGTGCTATGAAATGATTGAAGCATTTTTCAGAGTGGCTTGTGAGAAAGGAAAACTACATTTTGTTGAAGTGTTTTCTGGTGGGGATTTCTTGTCATGAAACGGAAGTCTGCGTGCCATTGGCTCCTTGCAGACAATAGGTGACCGAGAGGAAATGGTGGTTTTCCTTTGAAGAGCACTGGGTGCCGCCGGTCCCCCACGCAAGCACACACCTCACATGCTGCTTCTCAGAGCACAGCCCTGGTCGTTGTGGAGGGGATGACCTGTTTTGTGTGTAATTGTAAGGATGCAGTCTCCTGGTGTTACAGATATGGTCTGTATGAATAAAGATACTGACTTTCCTTCTTTCTCCAGTGCCAGTTAGAGGATGCAGGGCGGTTAAGGACAGACTACATCAGATGGTAGCACAGCTGGTGTAAGGTGTTTTCTAGAGTTCCTGGACTACTTTTTAAGCTAATCCAAATATATCAGGACTTTCTCATTTGTACGTGAAGAAGAAATACAGTGAAAATAGCGCTTATGCTATTGAAGAGATTCATTAGCTGAGTGTCCACGGTTGTAGGAGCGGCCTTAGTTGAGGCTGATGAAGGGCCTTTGTCACTGAACCAGGGCTGGGTTGGTAACACTTCTCTGGCCACCTTGTGGGGGGTTAGTTTCAACTCAGAGAAAGCTGTGCGCTTTGCTTTTGTGGTGGCCGATGGAAGAAGCACTCGGGACTTTGCATGTTGACAGCAAGCCCTCTGGAGAATTTCTCAGGAATTTAGGACTTGCTCACATTGGGTCCTGTTCCCTCTCAGCTTGTGGCCAGTGGAGTTGGACATGCTGGTTATCAGTTATGGCCTCACCCTGAGGTCAGGGACAGGATGGGCTCCAGGACTGTATATGGCTGAGAACAGGGAAAGGTGAATTTCCCAAAGGAAAAAAGTTTGCTTTGACTGCTGAGAAAAGAGAGTGTGGAAGCTGAGGAGATAACCAACAAGTGGGCATTGCTGATGATGACATTTTGTAAAAGACAGTTGCAAGGTGAGGGCCTCCCTGTGGGTGGGTTTCATGTGTAACCTTTTTATATGACTGTGATTTCTTTGTTTCTTGATTCTTGTGTCAAATGTTTCTTTTATAAAAACGCTTAGAGTATTTTTGTATAGGTGGTTGAATCAATTACGCATCAACATAGAGCCTCAGTTTAGTTCAAGAAAACATGAGGATTCCTATGAAGGGGCATTTTCATTTCAGTCAAGAGCCACTTCTGAGTCCCTTTCTATTAGATTTCTGCATGTAAGATGTTGCAGAGCAGCTGTCGGTATATCATTCTATCCACACATATGTTTTCTTTTCACTGCTGCCCTGGAATTCAAAATTGTGTGGCTTGAAAACACATGGACCCAATTGACTGAAGCTAAGTGCCTGTTGGCCTCTTGGTGAGGCTCAAGCTCTCAGCTCACTATCATATTTTTTTCTCTTAATTATGTTTTTTATTGATTTTTCTTTTAGAGAGAGTAGAAAGGAGAGGGAAAGAGAGATAGAAACATCAATGAGAGAGAAACAGAAATTGGTTGCCTCCTGCACACCACCCACTGGGGATCGAGTCCACAACCTAGGCATGTGACCAGGAATTGGACTGACAACCTCTCCGTACATGGGTTGACACTCGACCACTGAACCACACCGGCCAGGATCACCGTCATCTTTAACATTCTCTATTTTCCATTTTCTTACAACCAAACTTATATTGCCTTCCTTTCCACCACAGCACCTGGGTGTAAACACCGCACAGACAGCCTGACACTTGAAGATCTGCACTATAGCTTTCTCTACAGAAGGGCCTGGAGTGTGTATTCCCTGTCACCTGCCTGCACTGGTGCTGGTGACCTCCTCGAAGTCAGAGTTAACTGTTGTTGCCAGTGCTCTACAGCTTCCTTTTGTTGTAGCCCTGACCTGAAAGTTCTAAGATGTAGTAACTGTCCCCTGCCTTTTGCTTCACAGAATCCTTATCTGCATTGCATGTTGTTTTTGAGAAATCTTGCCTTTTACATTGCTGATCTGTTTTGGCACGGTGATACAAAGGCATTCTCCATGTGCTACCCACCTTCTTTTTGTTACTTTCATTTTGCCCATGCCCAATAGGGGCATTTAAAACACCGGCATTTAGTAATTTGTCCTGGTCCATGGAAAGGATGAAGAATAAACTCAATCAATTTCTTTTGCAAATATATTTAGCCAAACAAGTAGAGCAAGCTTAGTTTTAGCTAGCATGCTTATAGTAGGTTGGCGATTGTGTTTTTTGACCCAGAGTTGGGAGCAGGGAGCTTTTACAAGGATAAAAAGTGGGCACAGAGTATAAAAACCTTCCCATCTCTTCTTCAATTTAAGGTGTGCTTTCTGTGTTTTGCCTAAAATCTGATGGAGCATATGCAGTACTTATTTGAAAAATGAAAAGCAAGTACAATTTGAGTGTCCTTATTAACATGCATAATTGAGTGCCTTAAACAAACCACCCCATGTCTTGACTATGAGGAAATCTGGTAATATTCTTTTCATATCTTGATTATTTTTTTAAAAATGAGACTATTAAAAATAGTTTCTTTATTAGTACATATACAGTAAAGAATTATTTATATATATATATATATATATATTATATATATAAACATGACTTATAAAAATGTTTGAAAAGAACATTGGAAAGATGGGCTGAATGTCTTCCAGCTGGTTAATAGCAAAGAAAGATTGTTTTCATAAGTCATAAGCCAGCAACCATAGCCCATTTTAATTCATTGTTTTTCATAAAATGTGATGTGTAAGTTTTCATTTTATGAATAACTTGTCACTCATTATTATACATTTTAGATAATTTTTTTTATATAGTCCAGTTGCTTTCTAAGAAAGTTATTTCCCCCTCCCCAGGGAAGAATGTATGTGGCCAGCCTGAGAGAGAGAGAGAGAGTGTCTTTCTCCCAGGCATCCTGTTTTTTGTCCCTGCCATGAACAGGAGAAGTCGTCGCAACACGTGCCCATATCTAGCTTCCCTTGGTCGAGCCCACTTTTTTTATTTTTAATATATTTTATATATATATATATATATGTATATATTGGTTTCAGAGAGGTAGAGAGAGACAGACAGACAGACAGACAGACAGACATCAATGATGAGAAAGAATCATTGACCGGCTGCCTCCTGCACAGCCCCTACTGGGGACTGAGCTATAAACTGGGCATGTGCCTTTGACCAGAATCAAACCTGGGGCCCTTCAGTCCACAAGCCAACACTCTATCCATTGAGCCAAACCAGCCAGGGCTTGAGCCCACTTTTAAAAATACTCCAACACTGGAACACCAGGCTCATGAAGTGGCTTAACCAATCTCTGCAGAGGACGTTATTAAAAATGTATTTATATCATCCTCAAAATACTATCAGAAAAAATTACATTTTTTATTGCAAAGTACATAATTTATATCTACTTTCCTTGAAAATGCCATGAGATAGATCAGTGGGTGTCTCCTTTTTCTCCTTCAAATCAGACAGCTTGACTCCCTCACTACAACAGGCCTCTAGCTGTTGCCTGCCTTTAAGTTGGTCTTGATAATCCTGTTGAAAAAACTGCCCATAACTTACTAACTTAATTATTGCATTTCGAGAGGAAACACATCCCTGAGAATTGTCTTGATTGCTGTCTATTTTCTTATTTGCTGCTTAAAATTCTATATTAACTGACCAGATGAGTGTTTAATTTAAACCTTCTATTTTGGTATGATTGAAAAATGTATGTATTATTTTTTCTTTGATGTCACACAAAAGCATGGAAACTTACATTTTAATTATTATACTAATTGGAGAGTAATGCTCAGTGACAATGCTTACTATCACGGCCTTCCTCCATTTACTCCTCTCATTGTGTAAATGAAAGTTATAACACGCACACAGGGACCTCATTTGAAAGGTGGGAAATCACAGCGTATCTGTGCTTTCGTGCATCATATTTCCCCTCCTGGTTTTGGAAGTTTCTGGGTTATGCTGAGCTTTTAGTGGGATGTGCAATTTCTTACACAAGATTTCTCTAAATGGCTGGCATAGAAAGAAATAAATAATGGGGTCTAAGCACACATTTGCTGCTGACAGTATCAGAGTGAATTCTTTCACATAGTACAAGATTTCCTTGGACTGGCAGCTGAAAGGGGCTCCTGTTTGGCTCTGTGTGTAGGAAATTCTGGCAATGTGGTAAGGTACAAAGCAGACAAAAAATACCAGCATGATGCTGAATATATTGCGGCTGGATTTCCTCTTGACGGAAATGGAATTCTTTCGGGACTTCATGTGGGACTTGAAGATTTTCCTCGTGATGGCAGTGTAGAAAATGATTAGCAGAAGGAACACAATCCAGAAGATACCCACGAAGATGTAGTTTGATGCCTTGTGCCACTTGAGTCCCAGTTCGTTTTTAAGCTCCATGCATTTCACATGTGTGCCGTCCTTAGCACTCTGGTTGGTCAGGATAATGTTGGGGATAGCGAGCAGGAGCATCAGCAGCCACACCGTCACTGCCAGGAGTTTGCTGTAAGTCACCGACTGGATGAAAGAAGTCAGGAGAGGCTTCACGATTTTGTAATATCTGTCGAAGCTGATGAGCCCAAAGAACATGATGCTGACGTACATGTTGACGTAGAAGAGCACGGCCGATACCCGGCATACAAACACGCCCAGCTGCCAGGGGCCCAGGCCCGAGTCACTGAGGATCTTGAAGGGGAAGGTCAGGCTCATCAGGAAGTCGGCAACCACAATGTTCTTGAGATAGACGATGAAGCTCTTGGAGCTGGGCACGTAGCAGAAGACCCACGCCGACACGCCGTTGAGCAGCACACCCGCGATGAAGACCAGCAGGTAAAGCACAGGAATGATTTGCTGTGTTATGACGGGGTTTTGTGAGCAGGACTCCGCAGGAGGCTGAGAGGTGGTGGAATTCAACATTTTGTAACTTCTGAAGGAGCGGCCTGGAAAATGAAGTGAAATATTCACTCAGGGCACTTAGGGCCTTCCAAGTTAATTGCCAGATAATAAAGCAAAAGACAGTGAATATAGCCCTGACTGGTTTGGCTCAGTGGATAGGGCATTGGCCTGCGGACTGAAGGGTCCCAGGTTCGATTCCGGTCAAGGGCATGTACCTTGGTTGCAGGCACATCCCCAGTGGGGAGTGTGCAAGAGGCGGCTGATCGATGTTTCTAACTCTCTATCCCTCTCCCCTCCTCTCTGTAAAAAATCAGTAAAACATATTTTAACAAAAAGACAGTGAATATAATCAGACCCGCCACATTCTTGAAATGAAGTTCTTTTATATATTAGACACCCTCCCCTTCTACCTCCCTGCTCTTTTTTTTTTTTTTTTTTTTTTAAAGGCAAATACAGAGTAGTCAGGTGACAGGAAAGAAAAATTGGCAAAGCAGGACAGCCTGAGAGCCCTAAGCATTTCCTTAAATGATAGTGGTTCCCTATAAAACTCCAAAATTCTAGGACATACTCATTTAAACATAGTCTCAAAAGGTAATAAAATGGAAAGCAGAGAACTAATCTGTTTCTTTTCATTTAATCCAGAGCTTTGTTAATATACTAGGTTTAAGAGCTGTTGATACAGACCTTACTCTTTAGAAAGCCTGCCCTGCACATATTGTGGGCACAGCACAGTGTCTGGGAAGCATACATACCCACTGTAGCCGGTGTTACTGATATGGGGCTCTGGATACCTTTCAAAAGTGAGCTTTTCTCTGTGTTTTTTTTTTCCCATTGAAAAAGTGATTTGGAATACCAGCACAACAACAAGTACCGTAGACCTTCTAAGAAATGCTTTGATAGCGCATTTTCAGTCTGCCCTGTTCAGTGCGGAGTCACGGCCACATGCAGAGCCCTGGACCTGTGGCCGCTCCAGATGGAGATGTGCAGCAAGTACAGAGTGCATACCGAGTTTTACAGACTTTGTACAAAAAAAGAAAGTAAAATGTCTTAATATTTTTAATATTGACCACATTTGAAATAATATTTTAGAAATATTTGTTAAACAAAATGTATCAGTAATCTTAATTTTACTTTTTAAGAATATGGCTACTAGAAAAGTTAAAATTACATATGTGGCTTGCATCGTACTTGTAGTGGACACCACTGTTGTAGGTATTACCCAGAACCTTCTGTGTTAGGGGCTCCTACATGTTTTTGCTGATGTCAGCCATACTGATTCAGGGCACAGAGAAGAGTAGAACTGCTTTGAAAGACTATTTGATGCATCAAAGAAAATATTTACTGCCCATCTCATATGTAAAACAACATCTTGCCCTCAGGAAGAAATTCTGGCTCTTTAATGCTGAGCTCCCCATTTGGTCTGATGGCCACTCCCTCCTCCTCCAGTGAATTCCAGCTTTCTGGGACCCTCCCACTCCTCTAGGCTCCACGAATTCTCTCATTTTGGACCTTTGCACAAACTTTCATTTGTGTGGAAACTCCTTTGATACTTTCTGGTGGGTAACTTTCCTTCATCCTTGAGGCCTCAGCTTGAGTATCAGTTTTGTCAGGAGACTTTTCCACCCGAGCCTTGGAAGGTGCCTGGGTGTGGGGCTCCACCTGTGTACTCAGAGTTCTCTGCCTCTCTCCTGTCACAACACAGCTCTCGGCCTTTGGTTTTTGTTTTTCCTCTTTGTGTAGGCTCCTTTACAGGGGAGAGACCATGTCATGTTTTACCATTGTATTCCTACCATTATATTTAGAATGTTAGGTAGTTAAAGTATTTGTGAAATAAATGAATATGTAATATGGGAATGTAAGACATGAAGCCCTCCTCTCAAGAAATGTGTATCTAGTCAGAGGTCAGGGAAGGATTGTGAAGGACTGTGGGTTCCTTGAGGTCAAGGATGTAACTTGTTTGTCTTTGTATTTCTGGTTAAAGCACTGCTTTCCACACAGGGAGTGAAGTCAGTAAAATAAAGGCAATGTGAGAAAGTGGAACTGTGGGATGTGAAATCCAGTCATATCCCAAATAAAAAATCACAGTGCAAACTGTGTGCTGCTTCGACACAGATCCTGCCTCTGCGCACTCTTCACGCCACATGGCACAACCGAAGCCACTTGACTGCCAGTCCCTGGCCTGCCTTTCGAAGCAAATCTTGTCCTGTCCCCTGCATACCTGGTCTGATCATGCTCGTTTACCCTCATTTGCTACTTTGCAGTTGCAGGTCTTCTGTGGCTTTTTTCATGTTTTAGATGAAAATTAAAGGGGCCACATTTTCTATGTTTAACATCCACTGTGACAGATTCTGTGTCTAGTAATTAATTTTTCTTGTTCCCCGGTGGTCAGATGCAGCTTAGTCTAAGAGCCAGTCTCACAGGGGTACGCTGTCTGCTCCCAGGGGTTCCAGTTCTGGGGACACAGCCCCTCCTCAGCCAGTGTGCTAGAGTTTAAAATATTAAGTAAAAAAAAAGTACATGTTAATGCATTTTGAAGCAGAGGAAATATTAACTATATAAAATGCAATAATCTAATGAAATAGTGAAGAATTTTCAGAAATCTTTGATAGCCAAATTTTACTTCTTATAGAAACACTAGATGCCCAATGCATGAAAATTCATACAATAATAGGCCTTCCTTCCCCTGGCTGCCGGCACCGGCTTCCCTTCGGCACCCGGGACCTGGCTTCCCTCTGGCTGGCGGGGGTAGAGGGGGACTGACTGGGTCTCTTGCTGCCCTGGTCTCGGTTTTCCTGGCCAGAAGGGACAGTCCGAAGTGTTTCATTGCGTCTCTGCCCTCCCTAGGCAGGTTTCATTCTGTCATCTCACCAGCTCAAGCCCTCCTTCCTTAGGGATTGGGTGGAGTACAGGGCAATCCAAGGCTTACCTCCCAGCACTCTGGGCCTCACAGTAACCCTCTCCCAAAGAAACCCATGGGGTATGGCTTTTGTCCAGGGGAAGTCGCACATCTGGCTCAAGTCATCTGTGCCCCTGTGGTCATCTTGTAGAAGGCTGGGGTACCCACAGGAATCTCTAACTCACTAGAGGTGGGGAGAAATTGTGGGAAGCAAAGATGCACTGTCTCCCAACAGTCTTTAGTTACCCAGAGCTGGGTGGGGGCCAGTTTGGCACCTTCTTCGGCAGACAGTCCTGGGCTGCTTCCCTCCGGCTGCACCCAAGACCCGGGCTACTTTCCTCTAGCTGACAGCAGGCACCCTGGACCCGGGCCCGGATTACTCTGTAATAACATCTGGCCTAGTTACCATATTACCCTTTTATTATTATAGACTAGAGGCCCGATGCATGAAATTCGTGCAAGAGTAGGCCTTCCTTCCCCCGGCTGCTGGCACCGGCTTCCCTCTGCCACCCGGGACCCGGGCTTGCTTCCCTCTGGCCGCCCACAAGCACCCAGCAACTGGGACCCGGGCTGGCTTCCCTCCGGCTGCTGGCTTCCCTCCGGCTGCTGGCTTCGTCCTGAAGGACATCTCGAATGACGTCCGGTCTAATTAGCATATTACCCTTTTATTATTATAGATTATAAAAGCCATAACATATAGACAGTGACGAATTTCCCAGTAGTGATCTACTGAGAGCCACAGTTCCTTTTCTTATAGAATCTGTGTAAAGACATTTTCTCAGTCTTGGGACGTACATTTTTGATCTGCAACATGTCTGCCTGTAGCCTAACACCGTGGGCTGTTTCCAGGCTCCTCAGAGTGAGGAGGACCTGAGCATGTGCTCTGGTGCTCACACCACTGCCAGCCCTGCTTCTACTCTGGGGTTGGCAGAAGCGCTGACTAGCCCAGAACCAGAGCAGGCCTACCTCTGCAGTGGATACTCAAGGTGTGCTGGAATGGGTGCTTTCCCTCAAATAATTTGTGGTTTTGGCCTGTTTTTAAGCAATTGCAGTAGTTTCCCTTTTAAGATGTTAAGGTTTGAGAAATGCTGGGGGAAAGTATGGGTCATCCCTTTTGCCTGCCCTGCTGTCTGCTTGAATCCAGCAGAGGCGAACATAAGGGACACTCTGCATGAGTAAAAAGCTCAAGGTAAATCCAAGACAGTCTTGGTAGTACTTTTCCAGCTCTTAGGTAGTGTTTCCTTTAGCAGTAGTGTTGATGGTAGGGTATTGTGTCCTGTAGGTACATATTTTACTGCGCTTGATCTTGGAGTCTCGGAGCATGGCAGCCTTTTTGTATAGTGATAGATTGAGAGATGTGTGAAAAGGGAGCTATCATAAGGCATCTACAGCAAGTGAGGCCAATTTTATATATTGAGACAAAAAGGCAGGGTTATGCGTTGAATGAAAAACAGGACAAGCTTATGAGACATGTATCACTTTGACCTTGAAACATTTGCCCAGGCTCCTCTCTTTATCTTTAGTATTGAGATGATTTAATGCCCAAATAAAGGGACCTACTGAAACTTTAAGTCATTTCGGAAATGAAGACATGCTGATTTTATACAGCACATAAAGATAAATAAGAACCAAATGAACCAGAAAGAAAACAAAGAATGTCTTGGGGTGGCCCAATAATCCTTCCTCGCCTGCCCCATGCTCCCATTTGATTTACTGTTTCTAAGCTCCTTGCTCCAGCCCATTAAAGATAAAGACAGGCAAAGGGAAGGGGAAAAATAGGAAAAGGACCTCTGGGTGATGATCAACTGAAAAAGTGGGCAGTCAGTTTGTGGAGCCATAGCCAGCCCTGCCCCCAAGGCAGTTAATTCTGAGATGATAACTGAATTTCTGTAATGAAAGTGGTCGTTACATTAACCTTGAGCCTTCAGGAATGCAAACACTGCTCACTAAAGATCTCTCTATGTGGCAGAACTTTTAAAAGACACAACTGTATAAGTCTTCAATTTCTCGTAGGTGGAACTCTTCCTGTTTCCTCAAATGCAGGCAAGGGAGAGGAGTAAAATGGCACCAAATGTTTTAGTCTCTGTAGACCATTACTCTGGGTGTTAGGTAACATAATTAAAGAATGTGGTGGAATGGAATTTATAAGCCCAAAGATAGCTCTGTAATAGTGGCCTATGAATTGCTTTCTCTCAACTTCTTTGCACAGCTAGAATACCTAAGTGTTTTCAAGTGGAAGGGTGTTGCATATAACTGTAGGGCTCTCTCTGATGAGAAGAATTTAGTTGACACAGGGCCATGCAAAGCATTGCTCACCCCAGAAATATATTCATCTGAATAAAAACATGCTAAGCCAGGCCGGTGTGACTCAGTGGTTCAACGTCGGCCTTTGAACCAGGAGGTCCCGGTTCGATTCCCGGGTGAGGGCACATGCCCAGTTGTGTCTTGATACCCAGTATGGGGTGTTTAGGAGGCAGCCGATCAATGATTTTCTCTCATCATTGATGTTTCTATCTCTCTCTCCCACTACCTTCCTTTCTGACGTCAATAAAAATATATTTTTAAAAACCACACATGCTGAGGTCATTACTCATCTTCTGAGTAATTACAGTGACCCATTTTTCTCTTCTATCTGGGCCATCTCCCACCATTCTGATCGTGTGCCTTATTTTACTTTCTCTGAAGAAGGGAAATTATTCCTTCATGACATTTTGATGAAATTATTAAACCTTGTGATAATACTAGGGGGTTTTTTCAGTTACCTTTAAAAATTTTTTGTATGAAGTTTCTTTTCAATGAAGTAATTTTCAGTGAATGCTTGTCATCTTGAAGTGGCCAAAGTATTTCTTTACAGATGATCCTATGTTGTAGGAGAAAAATGAATTAATTAAGTTAAATGAACACCAGAGTGTTTTTATTGGAGAAGTATGTATGGTAGCAGTGTAAATACTTTAAAATTTCATCTTGTAAAATTGTGCAATATTTCAACATGTTCACTTGTTTTTCTTTTTTTATATATATATTTTTTATTGATTTTTCACAGAGAAGAAGGAAGAGGGACAGAGAGTTAGAAACATCGATGAGAGGGATCACACCCCCCACTGGGGATGTGCCCGCAACTAAGGTACATGCCCTTGACCTGAATTGAACCTGGGACCCCTGAGTCCGCAGGCCGATGCTCTATCCACTGAGCCAAACCGGTTTGGCTGTTGTTTTTCTATACTGGTGGTCTTGGCTGTCAATATTAGTGATTATTGATTTGGTGTGAACTCCTGTGGAAAACTTACAAACTCTTGAGAGTGTTGGACATAAAGTATTTTTAGATCAAGCATGTCAAACTCACGGCCGGCGGACTGCATGCTTCATTAAAACAAAAGGCATGTGGCCTGCTGGCTGCGAGTTTGACATGCTTGTCCTAGATAGAAGTTGTAATAAGATGTCTCTAAATGTTGCCAAGTATCCTGAGGGGACCACGCTGCCCGTGGTTGATGACTGCCGGTCTGATGAGAGGGATGTGAGCAGAGATAACACCTGAAAGCATGTTGTCTGGCAAGGAAAGGATGAGTTTGGTTGAGGTTGTCACCTTCTTAAACAGCTCTTCTCAAACTACTGTGCACCATTGTTACTTGGGGATCTCGCGGAAATGAACACTCAGATCCCATAAGTCTGTAGTTGGTGTGATGTTAGCCCAATGACCACATTTTCAGTAGCATGTTTTGTTTTTTTTCCAGATCCTGTACACAGGGGACATTTAATAAATATTTGGTGAGGAGGGTAAAAAAAACCTTGTTTTTCTTTACTGTAGTTAGGACTCCAGATAGGAATCAGTTACATTATAGGTAGCCCTGAAGTCTAGGATTCTCCTTAGTCTATTCATTCAGATTTCATCATCAATAACTCACTCTCATGGTTTCCTGGAAATGTAATTATGTATTTTATAGAAATCTACTTGAGAATAAGTGATAAAGAAATCTTATATTTTCTGTAATATTCCTAAAATGTCATGAAGTTCTCTTTAGGGAAAAAAAAAAGGGGATGAAGTTCCTTGTGGAGCAACATTACATGTGGTCCACAGTGGTGCTGAGCATGATCTGGTCAGGATGAGGTGTTCTAGCTTCATGGCAGCGCTTACTCCTGGAGAGGAAGGAGGAGAAGCCTGGTGTAGGGTGGTTGGGCTTTTGCTATATTTCTGGTATTTCATCCCTTAAATTTGGAAACCATTATGGCTAAATATTACTACCAGTTAACACTGAGTGATTGGGTACATTGGTTTTGCAAACATTAGTTTTTGCACTTTTATTTTTTATACTTGAAATATTTCATAATTAGAAAGAAATGTATATGGAGAATGAATTGCTTTCAAATCACCCTTTTCTCAGCACCCGCCTCTGATGAGCGTCCTTCTTCCTGTCCTTTGTTCAGTTCTTAGGAAATGACAGTCTGGTGTCTTCTCCTACCTCTTGCCATTCCAAGTCCAAGCATCAAAAGCTTTAACCGATGCCCCAGATCTTTTCATATTTGTCTCCCAATGACTGTTTTAACACTAGAAAATAGTATAGGTGTGTGTAATCATTGTGTACATTGCTAAATGGACTAAAGCCATTTTCTTATCACTGCTGGTTTTATCTCCCTTGTCCTGATTCTACTCTTTATTTTCCTTTTTGATGCCAGTATGTGATGGTTTCCAGAGCAGTTAGAATGGGTTGAATGGAGGGATTTCTGTAAGGACTGCATTGTCAGTCTTGATATATTTAGTAATAACTTGATATTAAATATCATATATATATATATATTTTATTGTCTAAAGTTTTACGTATGTCTCCTTTTTCCCCAGCTGACCCCCGCCCCCCAGCCATTCCCATCCCGGGCAAGCCCCCACAGCCCCAGTGTCTGTGTCCATTGGATATGCTAAAATGAATGCATACAAGTCCTTTGGTTGCTCTCTAACTCCTCCCCGCCCCTCCCCCCCCACTTGTCAATGGATCTATTCTTGTTCATCAAATTATGTTGATCATTATATCCCACATATGAGTGAGATCATGTGATAAATATTTTATATTTTATCTTTAAAAATTTCTTATACTATTCAATTGTCTTAATTCTAAGTATGTCGTCATGCTCCTGGCCTTTCTATTTTTTAAAAAAGATATATTTTATTGATTTTTTACAGAAAGGAAGGGAGAGGGATAGAGAGTTGGAAACATCAATGAGAGAGAAACATTGATCAGCTGCCTCCTGCACACTCCCTACTGGGGATGTGCCAGCAACCAAGGTACATGACCTTGACCGGAATCGAACCCGGGACCCTTTAGTCTGCAGGCTGATGAACTGTCCCCTGAGCCAAACCGGTTAGGGGGCTCCTGGACTTTCTTATTCCAAGGTCAGTTGGATATTTTAGAATTTCTTGTGTCTTGACTTTTGGTCCTGCCTCTTTCCCCAATGTCCCTGTGGGTTGGTAAATAATGTTCTTTGCTTCTAGGCCGAAGACCTCTGTTAAGAGGAAGTTATTACAAGTATGCCAGTTTATTTCGTGGAAATCACTATATTTTTCTCTGTAACTGACCATCCCTCTTGCTTCTCATAAAGTTGTTTCTACTTGCTCCTTATTAAATTCTCACAGTGGCTGGCTCCTTCTGCTCTCCTCGTGGCTTTTGGTCTGTGCTCCCTCTAGCTCAGCTGGGGAAGCTCACTCTCTCCTTCACCTGAAAGAATAACCCTCTTATCTTCCTTCATTGCCCTGAACATTGAATGTTTGACATTCACAGCTTACGTAGGCTGCCAGGGACGTCACTTATAATTTATCCTTCTTTCCCCACTTACTTTTCGTAACCTCTCTGTAGCACTTGATGTTATGGATTTCTCCTTGTTGAACTCTTGTGTTCTTAAGATGCATTGTAACCTTTGGCTTCGCATATTCCAGTGGTTCTCAACCTTCCTAATGCCACGACCCTTTAATACAGTTCCTCATGTTGTGGTGACCCCGGATTCATTGTTACAAATTGAACATCATTAAAGCATAGTGATTAATCACAAAAACAATATGTAATTATATATGTGTTTTCCGATGGTCTTAGACAACCCCTGTGAAAGGGTCATTCGACTCCCAAAGGGGTCGCGACCCACAGGTTGAGAACCGCTGGCATATTCCCAATTTTCTTCCTTTGCCAAGACCTTCTGTTCATTTGCTTATCAGAACATGTTTGCCAGGCACTGTGGAAATCCATCGGCCAAGGGACCTCTCAGGAAGGTCAACAGCCGTGGGCAAACTACGGCCCGCAGGCCGGATCCGGCCCGTTTGAAATGAATAAAACTAAAAAAAAAAAGACCGTACCCTTTTATGTAATGATGTTTACTTTGAATTTATATTAGTTCACACAAACACTCCATCCATGCTTTTGTTCTGGCCCTCCTGTCCAGTTTAAGAACCCATTGTGGCCCTCGAGTCAAAAAGTTTGCCCACCCCTGGTCTAGAAGGAAGCTGAACAAAGTGGCACTTCTGGGTGCAGCAGGGGCTGTCATGGGAGGCGGCAGCACGGAAGCAGAACGGGCACCAGCACCAGCACCAGCCAGCTTCAGGAATAGTGAGAGCACGTGACAATGAGTGCGGACAGTGTGCTCCCTCCAGTTAGTCAGGCAACGCGGGAAAAGGGGGGAGTTTTGGGCAGAGAGAGCTACTAGGTACATTCACCAAGACACTTGAAGTGATGGCACAGTGGGGGGGACATGGATTGCCTGAAATTTGGGGTAACACAGTAGAGTCTTGCCAGTGAGTTTCTTTTACCTCTATCATGCAAATAAGCGCACAGATGCTTAGAATGCCAAGTAACTCACCAAAAGCAAATTGGGCAGCTAACACGTGACTAGACAAGTTCAAACTCAGATCAGTTCAGCTCTAGGCCAGTGGGGCTGTATGGGCAGCATATTTTGTGCTTGTTGATGAGTCTAAGCATGTTCACAGGCCCTTCAGCAGTCTTCTGCAGTCTTGCCTTTAGGAGTCACTTAGACCCTATTTTTTAAGAGAAGACGCATGTGTGCGTGGGAGTTTGTGAGTGTGTGTGAGTTTGTGAGTGTGCATGACCTGCTTTTGATCAGGGTTTTCAGTGGCTACAGGTGTGGATTCCTTCACTCTCTCCAGTTAGTCTCCAGGTGCCACAGCATGGAGAACCTCCGTTTTATTTGCCATTTTCTGAAAGTAGAAATGTGTTTCTGACTTTTGATTTTGACTCAGCTTTCTATGTCCTGCACTGATGTCCAAGTAAAGGCATGGAATCAACTGTTCACAGTGGAGTTGAGAACAAAAGACATTAACCGGCAGGGGTGGAGCCTGCCCTGGGACCCAGAGCTGCTGCAGGGGTTCAGGTGCCTGTGCACTGGTTCCCTGGGCCCTGGAGTGGGGATGTCTCTGCTTGCTGCTGCTGCTCACTTTTGTGAATCCTCAATCAGCTCTGACTTGATTTTCCTGACTCCTGGCCACCATGGCCCATTGACTTCCCCTTCAGTTAGAGTCTAGGTCAGCCGTGGGCAAACTACGGCCCGCAGGCCGAATCTGGCCCGTTTGAAATGAATAAAACTATTGAAAATAAAGACCGTGCCCTTTTATGTAATGATGTTTACTTTGAATTTATATTAGTTCACACAAACACTCCATCCATGCTTTTGTTCCGACCCTCCGGTCCAGTTTAAGAACCCATTGTGGCCCTAGAGTCAAAAAGTTTGCCCACCCCTGGCTAGGTCATTGACAAAATGCTTAAATTTAACTCATAATTGGATGAATGATATTGTCACATACTTTGAGAAAGTGCTAGTTCTTACATTAGAAATATCCCCATGTGTTTGTTAAGCTGAATTGCAGCACCTAGG